AAAATATTAAATATATAAATTCAAATCTCTCTCACTCTCTCTAATTTAAAAGATAAAAGAAAAAAAAAAGTGAAAGAGACTTTACTACCCCTCTGTCTCCCTCATTTTCCATTAATAATAATTTAAAAAAAAGGAAACACACCAAGAAGGATATCTGTCCCTCTCTCCTCCCTTTCCTCTTCAAATTCACCAATGGCTTAAAGCGAGTCATGAGTCATGAGCGATTGTATGCAAAGACCAATGCGATATATATATGGCGACCAATAGGCAACTTCATGGTTACTTCGTAAGAAAAAAATTGTTATTACAATAACAAAGAATTAAAGACCTTGTTTTGTGCCATCTTCTTTCATTGATACTTCTAAAGAAGGTTAAAACCTATTTTTTATTTTTTTTTACCTTAATAAATTTATAGGTTTTAACATTTTAATTTATATTATAACATTTTTAGTCATTTATTTAATAAATTTATAGGTTTAATCCCTTATCTTATATTATGACACTTTTGATCTCTTATTTATACGAGTTAAAGAAAATAACCCCTATTTAAGGTCAAGTTATAATATTATGTTATTTCTATTAGTTAATTATTAACTCTGTTAATTGATTGTTAGCGTTCTATTAGTATTCTGTTAACAAAACTAACAAATAAAATTGAATTTAAATTTCATATATTTTACAATAGAATGCTAACAGATGCCAACAGTTAACTAATAGAATTAATAATCATTAATAAAACTAACAGTCAGCCAATAGAACTAATAAAATGTTATAATCTGACCTTAAGTAAGGGTTGTTTTCTTCAATTCGTATAGATGAGAAACTAAAAATGTTACAATATAAAATGAGGGATTAAAACTTATAAATTATTTAAATAAAAAATTAAAAATAATAATATAAAATAAAAAATTAAAATTTACAAACTTATTAAAATAAAATACTATAAGCAAGATTTCACCCTTTAAAAAAAAAACCGGAGTCAACTTTAAAAGTTAAACTGCAATCAAACGAAAAGAAATTTCATCTGACATTACTTTTCCGATTCCACTAAATGGTACCCTTGGAAACGATTAGTAATTGAGTGCAACGCATGGATGGTGACCGGGGGGAGACGACCGACCATGACTGTACAACGCGCATGGATGGTGGGAGACGACCAATTATTTTTTATCAGCAAAAGAAGGATGCTGTGCTGGAACATACGTCTCTCTATAAAACTTGCTTGTCAGCATTTACCTTGTTTTAAAAAAAAAAAAAATGAAAGTTTTCCCTTCAAAATATTTAAAATTTAAAAGATAAAGTTTTTGAAATTTTACTTATAATATAAGCTAGTAAGCAACCCTAAAAAAAACACTGCAAAATAAGATTAAAAAAAAAGAAGAAAAAACTGTTGCCAAACAACCTAAAATTATTTGTCAGTCAAAAAATTACTGTCACATGTTCAAGTCTTCGTGGTTTAAGTTAACTCGGAAACTTCGTGGCTGCATCCTCTTAATACAGAAGGACCAAAAAAATAAAAACAAAAGTCAGCTCAGTCATCTGAACCTGATGGGACCGAGCACCTTAAATATCTATCCTTGCTCCTAAACCCAGCAAAACATCTCAACTTGAAAAATCAAACTTAACATGGCATTTTGCATTCGCATTTCCATGGAGTTATTAACATGGGCTTCCTTATTTTTCTGCTCTACAATTTGTATTGGCACTGGCAGCACATTTGTGGCCGGAGCAACACCAGAGGCACTAGCTCTGTGGAAGAGTGGGTGGTGGAATGCCTCCATCAACAACGTTGCAGACCATTGTAGCTGGCCTGGTATAACATGCAACGGTGCTGGGAGCATTAACGAGATTAGTCCACCCGATTTTAGTGTGGGAGAGAAGTTTGGAAAAATGAACTTCTCTTCCTTCCCCAATCTTGTTCGCCTTAATCTTAGCCATCAAGGACTCAATGGGAGCATCCCACCTCAACTTGGTGATCTTACAAGACTCGAGCACCTTAATCTGTCCAACAACAATCTAACAGGTACATTGCCTTCTTCACTTGGAAATCTCACTCAATTACGGATGCTGGACGTATCTTTCAATTACATAAACTCCATCTCCCCAAAATTCAGGAGTTTAAAGAATCTTGTTTCTTTGAACTTGACTTGGAACAACCTCACTGCATCCAGTGCTCCAATTATAGGCCTTCCCACCAATCTTTCCCACTTGGAGTTGGCCTTAAATCCTTTTAATTGTAGTATCCCTTCAGAAATATGGAACTTGAAGAGTCTTGTAGCCTTAGACATGAGTGATTGCTCCCTCAATGGTCTAATCTCTTCCAACATCAGTCATTTAACCAATCTGGTTTCTTTATCTCTTGCAAACAATCAAATCATTGGATTCATACCTTCAGAAATAGGAAATTTAAAGAACTTGGTTTCTCTGGATCTATCTGGGAACTTGTTTGTGGGTCTAATACCATCCCGTCTTGGACAATTAACCAGTTTGACATTTCTAGATCTCAGTTTCAATTCGTTTAGTGGCTCCATTCCTCCAGAATTTGGGGAATTGACGAATCTCACTGATCTCCACATGAGTCAGTGCGGACTTGTTGGTCCGCTCCCTCCAACTTTGGGTCACTTGACAAATTTGAGATACTTGTTTCTTTATGAGAATCAAATCAATGGCTTCATCCCTTTGGAACTGACAAACCTTAAGAACTTGATTGGTTTGTATCTTGTGCAAAACCGTTTAGGGGGCACAATCCCATCATCTTTGAGTCTCTTGTCCAATTTGAGGTTCCTGAACCTTGGAACAAATTCTTTTGAGGGCTCCATCCCACCAAACATAGGAAATCTAAGTAATTTGGAACTTCTGAATCTTGGTGGTAATAAATTAACTGGACAAATCCCTTCCTCTTTGTCTCGTTTGTCCAATTTGTCAACTTTGTATCTTTATTCAAATAACTTGAATGGTTCTTTCCCTCAAAATTTAGGATGTCTATATAATTTGTTGGAATTGGATCTTAGTAATAACCAAATAACCGGTCGTATCCCTTCATCTCTGTCTAATTTGTCTAATTTGCGGAGTCTGGATCTTAGTAATAACCAAATAACCGGTCAAATCCCTCCATCTCTGGGTCTCTTATCCAATTTGTCAATTTTGAATCTTAGTTCAAATAACTTCAATGGTTCTATCCCTCAAAATTTAGGAAGTCTATATAATTTGTGGGACTTGGATCTTAGTAAAAACAAAATAACTGGTGGTATCCCTTCATCTCTATCTCATTTGTCTATTTTGCACTATTTGGATCTTGGTTCAAATAATTTACAAGGTTTCATTCCTTCTAAAATAGGAATTATGACTAATCTATCTTGGTTGAATCTTGGTACTAACAATTTCACTGGTTTAATTCCTTTCACCATACTTCATTTACCCAATCTGGGAAAATTGTGTCTTGATTCAAATCTTTTAGAAGGTTCAATACCCAAAGAGATTGGGCATTTGAAATCTTTGCAGTATTTGGACCTTTCTCAAAATAAATTGTGTGGACACCTCCCAACACAGCTTGAGAGTTGCTCCCTTTTAAAAAAACTGAATTTGAGCCACAATTCCTTGGGTGGAGACCTCCCATCTGAAATAGGAAATATGAAGAATTTATATATTTTAGATCTTAGTGCTAACAATTTCACTGGTCCTATTCCTTCCACTCTAGGCCATTTAACCAATTTGACCAACTTGAATCTCAATTCAAATCATTTGAAAGGGTCAATACCTTCACAACTTGGGTATTTAGGACACTTGCAACTAGATGGCTTGGATCTCAGTTTCAATAATCTCACAGGCCGAATCCCAAAAACTTTGGTTGGTTTTCCACTTAACTCTTTTATAGGCAACCCAGGTTTATACGGTTATCCTTTTAGCAGCCTCACTAGTTCGCCTTCTCCCTTCACTCAACATAGAAAAAATTCCAACAAAGTGTTGAGACATGTTAAAATTATTCTTCTTATCACCATTTCTCTTGTTTTGGTATCTTTGGCATTGTTGTTACTTTCTCGAAGAATAAATGGAGCAAAAAGTAAGGAAGCAATTCTAAGTCCAACAAAAAATGGGGATATGTTCTCAATATGGAACTTTGATGGGAGGGTTGCATTTGAAGACATTATTGCGGCAACTGAAGATTTTGACATTCGATATTGCATTGGCACTGGTGGCTATGGTAGTGTTTACAAGGCACAATTGCCAAATGGCAAAGTAGTTGCCTTAAAAAAACTTCATCGGAGGGAATCAGAGGTACCCACTTTTGACAGGAGTTTTAGGAATGAAGCTAAGATGTTGACAGAAATAAGACATAAGAATATTGTCAAGCTTCATGGGTTTTGTCTGCATAGACAGTGCATGTTTTTGATCTATGAATACATGGAAAGAGGAAGCTTGTTTTGTGTTCTTAGAGATGATGTTGAAGCTGTGGAATTAGACTGGGTGAAAAGGGTGAATGTCATAAAAAACACAGCACATGCTTTGTGTTACCTTCACCATGATTGTATCCCACCCATCCTTCATCGGGACATATCAAGCAACAACATTCTATTAAACTCGGAGTTGGAGGCTTTTGTTTCTGACTTTGGAAATGCTAGGCTTTTGGATCCTGATTCATCTAATCATACCACACTTGCTGGCACCTATGGTTATATTGCCCCAGGTTTTTTCTATCAACATAACAACATTCTTCCTTTGTTGTCTTATTTCACTATTTACTATTAAATTGACATGTGAAATGTGTGATTTACCTGTGCAGAGCTTGCCTATACAATTGTTGTGACTGAGAAATGTGATGTTTATAGCTTTGGGGTCGTAGCATTGGAAGTACTAATGGGAAGACATCCTAGAGAACTGTTGACATTGTTATCAAAACCATATTCTTTGCAAAATGTGATGCTAAGTGATGTATTGGACACACGTCTATCGCCTCCAAGAACCAGAAATGTTATCCAAAGTATTGTTGTTGCTGCCATGCTTGCATTGGCTTGCTTGCGTGCAAAACCCAAGTCCAGACCAACAATGAAATATGTGTCTCAACAATTTGTTGCCTGCCAAAAACAGCTTTTGAAGCCTATTTCAACTATTTCTTTGTTGGAACTTGTAAGTTTCGATTTGGGGATGGAAAATGGAAGGGAACCTCAACCGGAAATTGCATTAGAACTTGCAAAACTAAATACTGATTTGGGGATGGAAAATGAGAGAGAACCTCATTCAGAAGTTTCATGTCATCCAGATGAGTTCCATGGTTCTTCCTCAAATTAGATTAAACCGAGTTTCCTTGTCCTTTTTTTTTTGAAAAAAAAATATGTTTGTCTATTTCATGCTTTTCTTTTCTGTATTAATATGTTGAAATTGAATATCACCTTGTTTTGTGTATATTTCTCAACAAGAACTACAAATTTTTTGTACTGAAACACATGAATGCACCGACACAAAGTTCGGCACTTAGCAGAAGAAATTGGCTGTATTTTTTTTAGAAGAATCCAGACTGCATTATGCTGTACCATGGAAACTATTGTCCCCAATTGCTTCAATCAACCTTGATAGCGTAGAAGATGCTAGACAAGCAATAAAGAAAGGGCATTGACTTTTTCAAACACGGTATATGTTACAAAAGAGCCTTTTCAATGTTTATCTCCAGTGCAAGAGGGCCCATTAATACACTTCTGCTTAAAAAGGAAAATATCTAGGCTTACCAGCATAATTATTAGATGGACCAGGGAAACAATGTAAAATAAAATTGCATGCAACGTATAGTGTAGATTTTTCTGAAGTGAATAAAAGCTGAACACCGTGGATCTGTTGCTACAACATTGCAGCACCATACATTCTGTCTTGCAGAGAATAATTATCCAAAATAGAATAGAACTCTTGTTGACATGTTGTTGTGTTATAACAAATAATGTAATTTGCATATCCTATCACCACGACTGAGTAAAAGAAACTGAAAGTACAGTTAAAGAATCAGAACGATTTTGACTTAAATCCAACTGTCCAAGCAATCGGGGATGGGGTTGGGAATGTGAATGGTTATCCCTGCCATTAAATCAAATATGTTACGGCCACTAATATTTTAGTTTTTATTTTTAAATACTATTTAAAAATATTAATTTATTAGTTAATAAATATTAATTTTTAATAATTAATAATTATTTATTAATTATTTT